TGAGAGGAAAACTCACTACCTCCTAAAAGTTCATTCAAGCTTGGGGTAACTCTAAATTTTATGCATTGCTGCTGATTAAACCCTTTAAGGGGGAATCAAGACATTATTGATAAGCTGGAGTATATCCAAAGAAGGGTGAACAGGATAATGACTATGAACAAAATCCATCACATTATTACGAGTGTTAGTTGGAGTTTGTCTGGGAGAAGAGAAGGGGGAGGGGAGGAATATAATGATATTCTTCTGATTACTTTAGTAGAATTGTCATATGGAAGAGAGATTAAATTTGTTTTTCTTGCATCTGGAGGGTAGGAATTGGAGCAATGGATCGAAGTTACAGAGAGGAAGATTTTGGCTCAATATAAGAAAAAAAAATTGTTGAGAATGATGTTGAAAAGTAGAATAAGTTGCCTTATCAGACAGTGAGTTCCCCATCATAGGAAGTTTTTCAGCAGAGGTTGAGTGACCATTTGTTGGAAATGTTGAAATTGATATTCATGATTTGAGCAGAGATTGTACTCTAAGGTCCCTTCCAACACTAAAGATATTGTTAATTCTAATTTTTGTTGTTCTGTTGTTTCAGCCATGTCTGACTTTTTGGGACCCCATTTGGGGTCTTCTTGGCAAAGATATTAGAGTGGTTTATCATTTCCTTCTCCAGCTCATTTTACAAATGAGGAAACTGAGGCAAACAGGGTTAAGTGACTTGCCCAGGGTCACACAGCTAGTAAGTGTCTGAGGCCAGATTTGAACTCAGGAAGATGAGCCCTCCTGACTCCAGGCCCTTCACTCTACCTGCTGTTTCACCTAGTTGGGTATTCTGTTAGTATGTCTAACAACACAACCTCATACTCATAGTGATGCCCTTTCTTAAAGCTCTTTATCCTCTACTCTCCAAGTTCTCCATTCTTTCAGCTAATACTTACATGATGTAGTCTCCATTGCTCTCACTATCTTCATCATTCTTTTAAGAACCCTTTAAACTGCATCAAGAGAGGCTGGTCAAGCAACAAATGTCGCAAAGAATTCAATGAAGAAACAGACTGAGAATAGCCCATTATATTCAGAAAATAGGAGGTCACCTTTAGGGAGTAGTTTGAGTACAGTGATGGAGACAGAAGCCAAACTACATGGGGTTGAAGGATGAGTTGATAATGAAGAAGTAGACCTAGAAATTGTAGACTCCTTGATCAATGTTTGACAGAGAGAGGGAGAAGAAAGAAAATAACTTGAGGGGATAGCAAGGTGAATGGAAAGATCTTTTTCTGTTAGAGAAGAGCTATGAACATTTGTAGGCAGAGAAAAAGAAACCACTGGAGAGGAAAAGATCAAAAGTACAAGAAAGAGAAGCAGTAATGGACAGAATTAGGACTAGAAAGATGGGACAGGGTGGGATCATATGCATAAGGGAAAGGGTTAAATTTGGGAAGGAGTAGAGCCCTGCTTCCACTGAAACATCAGGGAAATAAAAGAATGTAGGCATGACAACAGAAAAGTTTGGAGGTTTACAGAAATGGAATTATGGAAGTTCACAGCAGATAGCCTAGATCTCGGTAAAATAGATAATAAAGTTTGTGATTACTTGACAGTGTGGAAAGTGGGTAGAAAGAAGAAAAGGTTTGGAATAGCCACAGTGGGGAATATAGAATAAAGAATCAATAGAAATTGAAGAAAAAGGCCATGGAGTAGCAGTAAAGGCCTGGCCATCATTGGGCAGCGTGGATTTAACAGAAATGTTTCCTTAGATATGCTCAGAAACCAGAAAGTAGGGACAGAGAAATCATCTGGTGAGAATTAGCAAAGAGAAAAAGGTCAGAGGTTCAAAAGAACTCTAGGGCTTCTAGTCTACTTTGTCAAGGGAAATGATGTGAGATAAAAGGCTATAGTGAAGGGTTATATTTCAGGTAGACAAGACTGAACTTCCAATTCCTTGTATAGTAAGCATGTAAGGGAGGGAGATAGTAAGCATTTATATAGCACCTACTCCATGCCTGGCACTGTGCTAAGTGCTTTTATAAATATTATCTCATCTGACCCTCACAGCAACTGTCTACTCACAACACAAGGTAGGTGCTATTATTATCCCCATTTTACATGTGGGGAAACTGAGGAAAAGAGGGGGTAAGTGACTTTCCTCAGGTCACAAAGCTGGTGAATGTCTGAGGCCAGATTTAAAATCAAATCTTTCTCACTCCAGGCCCAGTACTCTATCTGCTGCACTAATAGGTGCCTAATTTAATGAATACTTATTAATTTACTTGAAAAGGAATAATGAGTTATTGGTAATTCTTTTTTCAAAAGAGCCAAATCAAATCTTCGTATGATGATGGGCCTATGAGTTCTTCGTGCTCTATGCCTTTTTGTGGTACAGTGCATAAATCAGAGGACCCAGGTTCAAATGCTGCCTCTGTCATTTTCTACTTATGTGATCTTAGGCAAGTCACTTGACCCTTCCAGGCTTCGCAGTGGTAGGACTCAATGATCCCTGGAGGTCCCTTGCAGCTAGCTATAAACCAGTGCCCATGCCTGGGAACTTTCTGAGGGCTATGGATGACTGCTGATATAGAAGGGCTAAAGAAAAGTTAAAGAATTTGCTAGAGGAGACCCCAACTCTGAATCCCAGTAGTGCCTAGAATTGATGTCTTCCTTCCACAGCCTTCAGCCTTTCAAGATCCAGCTGAGGTCCGAGTATGGTTGTGAGGTAGCTCTGGATTCCTCCTTGTAGTAACCCTTCTTGCTCACAATGAGCAAATATATGGTTCCCTAAAGCTTGGGCTTTTGGGATGTGTGTGTGTGTGTGTATGTATGTATCCAACTCAAGACGGCCAAAAGCTGGGTGCTAATCTTAGTGTTTTCCATTTAGAGCTGGAAGGGATTTTAGCAGTACTCATCCACCGTCTCCATTTTACAGATGAGGAAACTGAGCCCCAGAGAAGTTAAGCAATTTCTGCAAGTGACCCAGGTAGTAAGAAGCAGAGCTGGGAGTCAAACTGAGGTCATCTTACTCTGGAGACAGCACTATTCTGTACCTTAAGCTTGCCACTCAATCCACAGGCAGTGAGCGGGCTTACGGCTCAGTAAGGAAGGCAAGTTAATCTATAGAGGATGCTTTACAGCCAGAAGAAAGTAAAGGAAAGGCTACCGCTACTTCTTAGGTGTTAAGGTAGCCCAAGTTAACTTATAGCAACTCTCTTAGCCAAAGTCAACTTTCTTAAATAAACATTCCATCCGCTCAAAAGGTTTAAGTTTATAGCTTGGCCCTCAACTAAAATGTCAGAAAAGGTCTCCTTAGCTTATTGTGAAATAAGCACATGCCTATGAGAGGAGACCTGTCCTTTCATATTACCTCCCCAGCCTCCAACCACTGCAATGCAAAAGTTACTTTGAGAAGAATTTACAACTATAACCTGCTGTTTTTTAATCTATAGTCTTTCTAAGTCTTTTAAATTCAAGCTTTTAAAATACATTTGGAAACAGCAGTGAGTCAAGATGAGTCAGGAGGCTATAATGAATAGTCATTGTTATCCCCATTTTACAGATGGGGAAACTGCATCTCAGAGATTTGACTATGATCATATATGCTACAAGTGTAAGAAGCAAGATTGGAGTTTTATTTTTTGTGACTTCAGGTCTAGTGTTTTATCAACTAATGCCCTGTTACTCTGAATAGCTGGGGCAACTCAACTTTTTTTTTTTGTCTCAGTTTGCTTTTCTGTAGTCTTTGGGAGTGGGACAGGGTGAACTTCATAGTCATTTCCAATTCCTCTGTTCAGTGATTTTCTGTAAGGAAAGGCAATATGAAGAAGTGAAGCTATAGATGGCTTTGGAATCAGGAAAACCTAGTCCATACTAGCTGTATGACCCTGGATACATCAATTGACCTCTCCTTCCTCCATGTAATTCTTTAAGTAAGTGACAGCTAAGTTGCCAATATGCATTTTTCTAGAAAGTATCTCACTGGGAGTTTCCCTACAATGATGAAATCATAGGTCTCATGGTTATCCACACTCCAAAATAAAAACAAACAGACAAATGCTACCACTATGTCTTGGATGGCTGATGCTTTCATAACTAAGCCATGTGTTTGGTTATTTAGTTATTGGTTAGTTATTGGAGCCATAACCAAGGTAGAGAATGTGGGATTTTGACCCAGGTGGCAGCAATCACTAGCATGGAGGTAGCAGGCAGGGTCAACCCAAACCAAGAAGGAGAAACTTATCCATACTCTGGGCTCCATCCCTCTACCATAAACTGCAGAAGATGGGCCTAAATATTTCCTTTTTCTTCAGTTCATCCAGGCTCCAACTCTCTGGGTACTTTCTCCTATTATTAGGCAGAAAGAAACAATATGGGAATGGGAATAACCAGGGGGGCCTGATCTTTAAAAGCTACCTCTGGACAGGACCCTAGTTACCCTAATCCTCATCTTTGGCAGGTCACTTAAATTCTGAGTGCCCCAGAGAAAGTCCTGTAAAAGATTGTAAATTGCAGAATCTTTGCTAATTTGGTTTGGTGTCAGAAATTCCTTTTGTAGAATTAATTGCTCATGTAGTGAAATTGTAGTGGGTCTAGACCAGGAATGTGCTGGAGCCAGCTCTGGCCTGATTTTTAAATTTTCAGTGTGATCATTCACCCCTCAGAAACTGGCTATAAATCAGGGCTTGATTTATTCTTTTGTCGATTGTTTAGACTTAAATAAAATGATGAAGCGTATGTTAGTAATGCAGATTAAGCCTGAAAGTGTGTCTCCTTTTTTTTTCTCTTAGAGACCTGGTTGTTAAACACATATAAGCACACTTTTGATCTAGACTCACACACACAGATACCCAAACATATACACATATAGCTACAGCTAGATTTTATGTATAGATATTATTAATATTTTATTATTTCAAACATAATTAATCATATATCACCATATGAGATATAATAATGATACAATGTAACATTATCATTATGTTAAACTATATTAATATATAATAAATATATGTGCACGGTGTTTATATGTGTGCATAGTCTGGTACTTGAACTGTCAAAGAAGATTTCTCTTGGGTCTGTAATCTATACACCAACATGTAGGCATTTCCAGAGCAGTGAGTTCCTTTCCCACACTTAGGTTTATGGGTCTGTGACTTGGAAGGCGCTAGATCTTCCTCAATCCCTAGCTGTAATTTCTTTCCCTCCATCTTTTCTATGTCTTCGTCACTGAATTTATACCATTCTCCAGTCTGAGGATCCTTCACGTGAGCAATGTAGTGGCCAGAATATGCACTTATGCCTCGGTGTATGAGGACAGCACTGAGTTCATATACACAGATGCCTTCTTTATGCTCCATGTAAGGTTCCATATCCAAAAGTTCTGAGAAACCAATGTAGGTGTTCAGTTTTTTCTTATGTCCCATTTGTCTGTCAAACACAAAACGCATTAGCTGTAAATTAAGTATACAGGGAAGACTGAGTAGTCGGATCTTCCTCGTTGCATTCTGTTTACTCTGACAGTTTTTACAAAAGTATCGATTGTCTCCTTCTAATTTTTCTTCCTTGAGAAATTCAGTGATGCAATCTGTTAACTGCTTGTGCCCTTGGATATTTAACTCCAGTTCATAAAATTTTGAGAAAAGCTTAGACTCACGACCACACTGGTTACAGACGGTGACATATGCATATTCCCCACAAAATTGCTGCTGGACGATGTTTTGCACATCTGGATTCTTCTGCTTAGACAAAGTATCCTCCAATAAAGACATAAACAGCTTTGAAAACTCTTGGGCATCCTGTGACAGAAATGCTTACAATTGTTCACCAAGGTGAAGTGATCAAATCACAGTTAAGGAAAGTGACTATTCATAGGTTTTTCTCGGAATTAGCAAGGCAATTTGCTTCAAGGACCATCAAGTAGAGAAGAAGAAAGGGTTGAGTCATTGGCTTCTAAGGAACAATGTACTAATTCTGATTCTTTCTCATAACCTGTAGGTGTAAGAATAGCTTCTAGCACTAGCATCATTTCTAAATGTTCTCCCAGAGTCATACTGGACTTTTGAATGACCTTTCCCTGGGGCAAGGGTGGGGCATGGGGAGACAACCCTCTTCAGTCATTGTCTATTGTCCCAGATGAGAACTGAGACACCACCGAGATTTGTATTGAATCTTAGAGCTAACAGCTTCCTTGGAAGATATTTGCGGTAGAAGGATGTGTGGCATATAAAATCTAGCATAACCCATACATACTTTGAGACATTGCATTTTGCTCATCTTCACTACAGTTTAGCACTTTCTATGCTATCAATATGCTAATATTTATTTTAAATTTTCATTCACGTCTTTTTTTTTTTCATCACTTCATTTCCTTATACGGCCCTCATCCATTCCCGTGCTCAGAGACATCCATTAAAACAAAAAGTTTAAAAAGAGAAAGAAAAAAAGCTGTTCAGCAAAGCTAACCAACATATCAATAAAGCCTAACAATATATGCAGCTGGGTGGCTCAGAGGATAGAGTGCTGGACCTCGAGTCAGGAAGACCTGAGTTCAAATCCAGCCTCAGACACTTACTAGCTGTGTGACCCTGGACATGTCACTTAACTCTATTTGCCTCAGTTTCCTCATTTGTAAAATGAACTGGAGCAGGAAATTGCAAACTACCCCAGAATCTTTGCTAAGAAAATCACAAATGGGGTCACAAAGAGACTGAAGTGACTGAACAAAAACAGTAACAACATATTCACAGTTCCCCACGTTTTCAAAGAAAGAAGAATGGCTCATTTTCACATCTGTCCTTTGGATCCAAATTTAGTCATGATTACACAGCATGTGGTTTCAATTTTTGTTGTTCTTTCTTCAATCAAGGATTTATTAAGCATTTATTATATGCCAGGTACTGTGTTAAGTGGTAACGTTTCTTCATTGAAAGTTCCATTCACCAATAAAATCATGGTATTGGACCAAATATGTGTGTGTATGTGTGTGTTTAGGGGTGGGATGGTGAGTCAATTAAGAATGTCTGAAAGGATTGCCTTGACGCAGTGAGGGCCCCATTGAGATTATATAACATAAATTTGTAGTAGATCCAATCAGCACAGTTTTGTGATTTTCTACAGCTTCAATCAACAGCATATGTGAAGGCTGTGGACGGTGGAATTAAATGAAGGCTGAGGCTTGGTTTTGAGAGAAGAGGATGATGTACAGTTGACTTAATTCGCCAATATATCAAGATAAGGAAGGGAGGAGTCTTTTGCCAGTGGAAAATTGAAGGCCTGGAAAAGAACTAAGAGGTGAAGGGATCAGAGATTATGGTTAGTATAAAACAAACCAAAAAACAAAGTTTGGAGGTAAAAAGTAGAGGGAGAGGTGGAATGACAATAGATTGTAATCAGATATGGGAATGGGGCATTTGTAAGTGATGATACAATCAAGGATGTGATCATCTTTGTGTGTAAGTTAGAACAGAACAATAAGTCATAGGAATATGTAAAGTGACTATATGGCCATCTAGGCTGTTTGAGGGAGCATCAATATGTATATTGAAGCCCCTAGTAAGAGGGAAGGAGTTGGGAAGGGAAGACTGTGAGCCAGGCACAGAACTCATTGAGTAAAGGAGTGCAGTCTCCTGGAGGTTGGTAGACAACAGCTACCAGAATTTTGATTGGATGGTAGATATGTATTTAGTGAATCTCAGTGTAGGAAACTTTACTGAATATGATGGTGGTAATGGGAGAGCCTGGAAGTAGCAATGGGGAATAAGGAGTATTCCAACTCTCCCACTCAACTAGGGAGTCAGAGGGAATGAATGAATGTGCAATCAGTGCTGGAATAGGGTAACCAGGGATGCTGTGTTATCAGGAGGGAACAAGGTCTCAGAAAGAGTAGATGGAGTGAGAAGGAGTGAGAAAGGGAAAGATTTAAGATGAAACAAGCTTGTTACCTATGAAGCATTAATCCAGAGAGTATAGTGGAAGATATGCCCTACTTTACAGAGGAACGTCGCTGGAGGAGAAGGGGGAGGAGAGGGTTGAGGGGAATAGGAATAAGGGATCATGCAATAGAAGAGAAAAAACGGGGTTTGAAGACTGATGGTTGGAAGTTCAGAATTACTGATATGGGGAGGCTATGACCAAGTGGGAGTGTGTTAATCATTAAGGAATGAGTTTAGGTAAATCATCAACATCCCTAGAGATTTGTCCTTAGAGTGGAGTCCTCTCAGGGCATTAGGAACATCCTTTCCTCTTCCTCTAAGGGAAGAGACCAGTGCTAGATGGAATGACATTTCTTCCTTTCCTCTGAAGTCTGGGAATTGGGTGAAGTTGTACTAAATAATTCCAAGGGCCCTTTCAGTCATAAATACATGGGCTTTGTGAGTAGAGATCATGGCATGTTTCTTTTGTACCCCCTTCACACCTTTTATTCAGTAAATACTTATTGACTAATGAATTAAACCTTCAAGTTCACTCTCATTCCTTCCCTCTAAGGATGATACACTCCACTCAGGAATTGTCAGGGAAATATCCTCTTTCTTTTCTCTTCTCACATTAATTCCTTTCTCTAATTCTTCCAAATTCTCTTTGGACCAGTAATTTACTTGCATTCTTCCTCAAATCTTCCCTAATTCTCTAGGCTTTACTATTGTTGGCATTCTTTCATCTTCTGTTCTCCTTCATCATTTCCCCTCTAGTACTGATTACCCAGCTGTGACTTCAGTGACAGTTATTATAGATCATTATTATATCACAAATACTTATTATAGAATCACAGCCATAAAGTTTAGAGCCAGAATGGACTTAAGAGGTAATTTAATCCAACACTTGCAGTTTACAGATCAAGAAACAGAATTCTAGAGATGTTATTGTTCATTGTTCATTTTTGAAGAGGACCAATGACATCACAAGGGCCATGTCTTGGGTGTGAATTGAATTGAAGTGAAGCAGAGTTGCTAAGTGTCATCATCCTCCCTCTGTCTTCCAGAATCATTGAAGTCCAGTGGCAGGACAAAGTCAAGATGGACCATGTAATGGTCCAGGATGCAGTGTCATTGTGTCTTTTATGTCTGACCAAGCTCTAAGTGCTTCACACCATCTGTTTTAGCCAACTTCATGGCCATTGGAATAAATTGTTCTTACTCACCCATTCCACCAGGGAAAGTCTTCACATGCTTGGGGTAGACCAGTTGGTAAGGAGCTACACTGGGATTTGAACCCAGGTCCTCAGGCTCCAATCCTAGTGACTTATCCAAAAATGAGTTAAAGTTCTTTGTGAAAATATAATCAGTATTCTTCCATCTCGACATCCAGAGCACATGTTCAGTAGCCCCCACTAGCTAACAGCACAAAGGATTAAAGTGAGTGTGAGAAGTAGTGGAAAGAAATCTAAAGGATAGTTTGTTGTCTTTATGTGGCGAGATGATTGACAAGAATGATGGGAAGAACTGGTGTAAGTCATGTATCGAGCAACCTGTGTGGCCCAGCTGTGTTCAGAACAAAAACCAGGGCATGTGATGCAAAGAGCTTTGAATAGAGCCCAAGATTGCATGGAGAAGTTGCTCTTGTTTCTGTGCTGAGAAATGCCTTACTTTGTGAATAATGTATTTATATTTCTAGCACACAGGGCAGACATCATTCATATTCTAAAGATACTTTCCCCATCACCCTGGCTACATTCCCTAGGCAAGTCAAGTTTATAAAGCTTCCAATGAAGAGAAAAATTTCCTTTTTTGCAAAAACAAACAAGCAAAGTTGAGAAAACTCCCTGACAAAATCCCACAAAATGGATCATCCTTTATAGTGAAGATTGATTCAAATGTTCAAATTGACACATATGCATTTGTAGTGTCAGGGTTCACGACCCCCAACTCCAAGCTTATGAGCCCCCACAGATGTGTTTATTTTTAATAGTCAGCCAGAGGACACAATTAGCCTGAGACATTTCATGAAATGTCATATTAAGAAAAAAATAGTAACAAAATATTTCCCTCATAAACTTTGAAAGGATTGTAACATGAATATACATAACATCAAAGAGAAGAGTAGGCAAACGTATGGGGATTCATGTGGAGAAGCATAACATGTAGGAAACAAACATGGCCTATCTCATCAATAGAATCCTCTCATCTCTAGAGCAGGAGATAATGTAACTCAGTATCAAACTGTTTAGAACAAAGAACGATTCCAGTAAGATAGCTAACGCCCATAGATCTTTTCTTTGGACTTGTCTTTTTGGTCCAGGGGCTTGTCAGAGACTTTACCAGAGCCTATGGTGGGCAGTCCATATAACTCCCAGTTTTCAACTTCTGCGGTTTATAACATAAGCCAGATAATTGTTATTTGCCTAATAAGTACTGAACAGCTCTGGAGTTTGGGTTTCCCCAGTTTCCTGAACCTAAGTGCCTTTTATTCTCCCATGTAGATGAATGGGTAGAGGAGACTAGGTATAAAGATAAGCTAAGCCCACAGGGCAAAATCATTGTCTTTTCTACCTGGCTAATTATATTTCAGACCTTTTCATGATCAGACACAGCTGACCCAAAGCTCAGAAGGAGTTTGTGGGCAATCCCCTACATGCTTCTCTGTTTAAATATTGTATTTTCCCCTCCCCCAGAAAAATAAAGGCTTCTTCTTTTCCCTTTTGTCTTTATCCTGTCTTTCAGCAGAGTATCTTGGTTATCCTCAAATGCTCAATGGAAATGGGTAGTATCTCCAAGGATGCAAAATGCAACCCATCCATCCATACTTATCTTGTGGAATTTTTCCCTTTGCCCTCCTCCCATAGGTTTACCAGAATGAGAGT